CCCCCCCGCACTGTATTAGTTAATATCCGATCTGCCGTTAGTTCTGTAGTAAAACTTCACTTTCATTTTAAGCATGTTGGCTATTCTTTCTATGGTTCTAGTTTTTATTTTACTCATAATATCCCTCAATTTAAGAGGATTTTCTTTATTGTAATTCATCGTAAGGTCATTGGATATTTTCTATAATTGCTTATCAATGTCCTCTAATCGCTGCCAAATCATTACCTCTTTAACCTCTGTGATTTGGTTCTCATTGAAGAAGCATGACTGGGTGCACGCTGTAGCGGAATGCTGGTCTCTCAGATACTATTTCCGCTGGTAGTCCAGGTGTGGCTCAGGAACAAGTAGTGACCCCAGGAGAAAAATCCACAGTAATAGAATTATCCAACAGCGTAGCAGTCATAATCAGCAATACAGTCCAATAATATTGGGAAAGGTGATGGGATAACTGGACGAAACACAGCATTAGGAACTGAACTGAGGTATAATTTCACATGCCTGCTTTTAAGCAATTCTCTCCTGCAAGGGAGACACCTACAGTAAATACAGTAACAAATAAAATACGTTACCTCCCACACATCTCCTCCCCTCAGCATGACACATAATCCACTTAATCCGTGTACAGTATTTCCCCAGTTCCTGGATGTACCCCAAATACATATGGTACACTCCTAAATAGGGGATCCCCTGATAGCCCTGGTCTGGGTGAGTAACATACACAAGAATCACCCAGATCGGACCAGGGGTTCGGGAGTTATGGAAGAGTAAAGTTTTGACCGACCGCACAGGTAACAGCAGCCGAAAATAGTACCATAAGTTTTGGCCTTGCTGTCTTTGTTCGTGAGTATAAACGGATGAAAATACCGAATGAAATGGCTGTTGCTTGCCTTCATGTGAATCCCCTTTTTCGGATGAGTCTTTCTACCGAATGGCGGCTCGTTCGGTAGTTTCGTCACGAATTTAGGGAAGTATGGAGGTCTCAGCAGTGTTTGCCTAGCTGAGTGTCCGATTTTAGTTCCAGACACTCAATAGCAAAACACTGTTCGGGAGATTAAGATGGCGGCCACCCATAGAACAAAGTACCGATTGTCAATTAGGGGTTTGCAACATTGTTGCAAACGGTAATGAGAGGCACACTTATCCCTGGGGTGGTCGGATTGTTCGGTAGTTTCACTTGTATAGTAAACGGAGTGATTTTACCGAACAATCAGACGAATGCTGCATACAAGGTGAATATATGGAATAGCAATACACGAAAGCATTTTAAAATACACAAATTTTGGTAGACAGCTCAATGTCCTGTGCTGCATAATTTATATAGTCCGAAGTCTCTGCAATATTATTTTATATGCCCGTAGCTGGTTCTTAAAGGGCCAGTAGTACCATACAAAAATCCCATTAAGCCCAGCCATGGTGTTTAAAGGGTCCCATCTTCCCGGGACCATAATCACCGGGCAGGAGGTGAGCAAGCAGCCCCCTCCAGGAAACCGAGGCAGACTCTTGTACAGGGGCTAGCCCGCTACACACTCCCTCCTTTATTAAAATATTCCACTATGTGCAGAGACTGCTTGTACTGAAGGAGCTTGTAGCTTATAGTATGAACATGAGTGTCAGCTTCCCGTCCTATATTGTATCAGCTAAACACTTAAATAAATCCCTTTCCCCAGGGCACTTCGCTTAATCTTCCTTCTACTTATAGTTTAGACAGTATTTCTGTTATTATCAGGGGTGAGATTTAGGCACCTGGGTAATTGCAGACTCCTTATCAGCTATATGCCAGGAATACTACTTCTTTCACCATTTCAAACTGTCAGAAGTACCTAGACCCTCGTTCATCGCTTCAGCAGTCTAGACAGAAATCGCCATTTCACCGCCGCTCTAAACCATGCTGCCGAGAGCTCAACTTCTCTTTGCCAGGCTTCCTTGACTCCTCCCCTGGATGCTTCCGGGAGCGTGCTTACATCATCCCGGCGCAAACCCTCTCCTGGCCTTGATCTCTCCTCAGGGCAGCCCTCTACTCTCTCCTCCAGCTCTGCCTCACTCCCACTTTGATATTTCCTGTCCTATTGTGTTTTATACCCCACCTCCTATAGACTGTAAGCTTGTTTGAGCAGGGTCCTCTTCATCCTATTGTTCCTGTAACATTTTGTAATAGTCTCATTTATTGTTAAATCTCCCCCTCTAATAATATTGTAAAGCGTTATGGAATTTGTTGGCGCTATATAACTGTAAATAATAATAATAATAATAATAATAATAATAATAATAATATGGTGCCAGTGTTCCATTGTGGGCCATTTTTCCTGCAGGATTGGAGCCAAGTTTGTAGAATATATTTGGCCACTCATGTTTCTCATTTTTAGATTTAAAACCTCTTTGGGACATACCTTACAAGAAACATGTACACAGATTTAAAAATAAGACAAACTGTGATATTATAAACAATCTTTAATAATGAAGAAACTTACAATTTCACAATTAAAAACAAGATCTGACGCAGTCAATACAGCAGTCCGTAAAAAGTCTGCAGCAGTGGAAAAGGTGCCGATAATCTGCTTCTTATTCATCCGGAGAAACATGGCTTTAATAACCAATGTGAAATCATTTGTATAGCAAAGCCCAGAGAAGGACCATGGAGTTACATTATGGAGGAATAGCCTATAAACTCTATTAGCTGATACATCAGTGATGCACTCTGCCTCTTTACACCAACTGCTCATTAAGTGCTGTCCATCGACTGACAGGATTATCAATGTAAACTGTTCAGAAACGAGATTTTATTTAGGCTCCATAATTTGCTGAAGAAGGCCTCTCGCTATAACATTAAATGAGAACCAGAAATAACTTTATTAAAGACCCCAAATAAAAAATCTGTGCTGATAATAAAATGAATCCCAAATGGGCACAGCGAAGGCTAATCCAGACAATGGAGATAGGAACCAAGGTGTGCTTGGCTTCCTAACCAGCAAACTGGATGCCAGCTTCGGAGTCATTCTATTTATTAGAAACCCCACCATCTCCCAAATTCTAATATGACAGTCTCCTACTGCTGTATTACTGCACACAAAAAAACCAGACATTTAGACGCACTCCTCTGTATACAGAGTGCAGCCAAAGCCTCACTATATACATAAACACACCCTATTTGTACATCAGTGCACAGGCCGATATATACACAGCCCAAGGAAAGAGTAGGCCAAAACCATTCTGCTCAGGCTGATAATGAAAGATTCATGCCACACATTATACCCAGGCTGGCCGCACATTATAGTCAGTGTCTTATCGGGAGATCCCTGCCCCACACACACACACACACACTACACATATTTAGATCAGTACCAGGAGATTTGAAATTATATATTATGCCTAGGCTGATACCACAAGATCTGACACAAGTCTTTGATAACAAACCCTTATACAAGCAGGGACTGAAATTGTAATATTCCCAAAAAACTCCCATTGTCACTAGATGGTACAAATGCCAGCAACACACGACTTTTATGGATTTAGTGGCTAGCACGCTTCTGCATTTAGAAAATAAAATAAAAACAATCAGAATTCTCTGCCCATGTTTTCGATCAGGGAAAACAGTAGGTGTTATCCACCCTGATTAGACTTTGCTGATGATTGAAATGGAAGTATGGTGTTCAATATATCGCCCGCATGTTGGTATGAATGGGATGTCAGACGCTAGACACTCAATATCAGCACATGTGGCCCAGAGCCTACTGGCTGCCCAATAGTTGTCTTTTTAGATTCCTGAGATGAGATTTCAGGATGAGAGAGATCAACAAGGAATATTTCACAGTTCAGGTTTCACACAGCAGTCTTCTCATAGGATTGGTAGAAAGCAAAAATATTGTTCAGTTAGGAAAAAACAAAAAAACAGTGAGGGCGCAGGGAGCGTCGCCAGAAAAAGCAGCAAGGGCGCGTTGGCAGAAAAAGGAGTAAGGTCACGGGAAGCGTCGTTAAGAAAAAAAGGGAGGCCGCAAGGAGCGTCGCCAGAAAAAATAGCGAGGCCGCAGGGAGCATCGTTAAGGTAGAACGGTGAGGCCGCTGGGAGCGTCATTAAGGAAGAACGGCGAGGGAGGACTGGGGAAGGGCATAAGCCATATTCAATAAAGAGCCTGAAGAACAGATTCTGAAATCTGCATTGCGTGTGGAGAACAGAAATGACAGCATAAAAAGTCTGGCCCATGTACAATGGATACTTGATAGGAAGCAGAACTTCACTCAGACGGAAAGCTGAGGGTGGTCAATCACATTACGCGCACGTCAGCTGAGGCCTGCAATAAAGAGGCATAAAGAAAAGGTTAAATAACAATATTGACATTTCTTTGACAAAATAAAGGTATGTGGACACATCTCAGCATTTCTTTTTTTTCCCCCAGTCTGCATACCCCAGCACAGGACCAATTTTGCACTGTTTGGAGGCCAGCCTGCAGTTAGCAGTTGATAGGAGAGGACTGCTTGCCAATGTTCTAGTGATATCTGTGATGAGGGGATACACCAGAGACAGCAAGGGTCCCAGGCAAGTGTCAATCAGTGTAGAAATGACATGACTCATTCTCTACCACCCACAACCTTATCACTAGCTGCTATGTTTTGTAAAGCACTCTACTAAAAGGGATCTTATATGTATGAAAACGTTGGCTTAAAGAAGCAGCTTTGGTGTATAGATCATGCACCTGCAGGCTCACTGCTCAATTCTCAATGCACTGCCATTTGGGAGTTAAATCACTTTGTTTATTCTGCCCTGTGACTAATAGTCTGCATGAAAAAAAGGTTTCATTTTCAGTCAGATGTTAACTTGCTTTATCTCCTCTCCTGCTCTGTAACTTGAACTTTAAATCACACACTGGATGCTCCTGCAGGCTGTAGAAGGCTATTAACAGAGCAGGAGATTAGAAATTCTAAATTAAACAGACTGTGCAATAAAGGAAGTGTAAACATTAGATGACTCTTTACAGGAAGTGTTTAGGAAGACTGTGTACGTCACATGCAGGGAGGTGTGACTAGAGTTGCATAAAAAAAGTGATTTAACTTCTAACTGGCAGATAATTGAGCAGTGAGACTGCAGAGGCATGTTCTATACACCAAAACTGATCCATTTAAGGAACACTATAGGATCAGGAACACAAACATATTCTTGACCCTATAGTGTTAAAACCAGCATCTAGCCCCCCTGAGACTGTCTCCTGCTCACTGGCTTTGAGCCATGTCCCATAGAAGAGTTGGATTCACTGCTCCTCTGTGAGAAGCCATAGGACCCTCCATGTTCCTCTATGAGATCTCACAGCGGTAGAGCTGCAGCATGGAGAGAGTCTTGCTGCTGGAAAAGAGGAGCCCTAAATCTACACCATACATGGAATATTCCATACATTCACTTTTAAAGTTGGAGAGTTCCTTTACATAAAGTTCTCTTTCACAGAGCAGCTGCACACGGACTGCGCCAGTGATTCCAGAACATCGTTGGACATTACGGCAATCACCAACCTGTCACCTCCCACGCTGTTCGCTTCATCGTCTTCCATCTCCTCTTCCAGGTCCATATCAAACTCAGCTCCAGCATCCGCTCGTGAATAACCCCTGAGAGAGCAAGACAGTCAGTGACATAAAGAGAAACACCAGACAGATGGGGACAGGGAAGAAGGCTACTCATTATCAGAGAGATTGCCAGAGGGCCAAAGAAAGGGGGCAGGAACTAGCTGCCTGGGAGAGGGGGCAGGAAATAATTGCCAGAGACAGGTAGTAGCGCCAAAGAAAGTGGACAGGAAGTCAATGCCAAGGCTAGAGGAGAGAACGACAGGGGTTGGGGTGAACAATGCCAGGAGGTGAACTATAGTCATCTAAACAACCTTAGCTTAATAAAGCAGTTTTTGTGCATAGATCATGCCTCTGAAGTTTCACTTCTCAGCTTACTGCTATTTAGGAGTTAAATCAATGTTTTTTTTACCCCAAAAAAACCCACACATTTTAAATGTGAACAAACCAGTACCAAATACTACAAAGGTAAATCAATTTTTTAATTCTGTTCATGCAGCCCTTGCCACACCTTCCCTGGCAGTAACTGACACAGCCTGCATAAAAAAAAAATAAAAAAAAAGTTTAATTTCAATCAGATGTAACTTAATTTAAAAGTTCTTATCTCCTGCTCTGTAAACTGAACTTTAATTTAGAATTTATCTCCTGCTCTGTTAATAGCTTGCTGGACCTTGCAGGAGCCGTCTGTGTGTAATTAAATATAATTTTCAATAAAAGGAAGTTTAAACATTAGATGACTCTTTACAGGAAGTATTTAGGAAGGCTGTGTTAGTCACATGCAGTGAGGAGTGACTAGGGCTGCATAAACAAAGTGATGTAACTCCTAAATGGCAGAGAATTGAGCAGTGAGACTGCAGGGGTATGATCTATACACAAAAACTGCTTCATTAAACTAAAGTTATTTTGGTAGCTGTAGTGTACCTTTAAATCTTTACGCCAATAACTAAATGATTATATTTTCACCCCTGGAGTTGTGACATGCAACCTCCAACGAAAAGGTTTTAAATGACTTTAATTTGCAATGTTGGTTACGAACAGTCTCTGCAGATATATTTGTTTCCATCAATGGAGTACTACGTTCTACGTTCCAGATTAAATTCCCTCCATAAACGGGATGTAAAGTGATTGGGAATAAAGCAGGCATATTGTATGGACATTTTTACCTATATTACTCACTCACCTGATGGAACGGCAAGTGAAAAAAACTATTCTCTTCAGTTTCTTGTTGTAGAAGAAATAATTGAAAGACCACAAACTGCCATCTTCTCCAAAAGGATCAGAATCAAGGTCTGGATTGTAGCTGTACAGAGACATAAGAGTCAATCAGAGGAGCAGAGCCCTGGCACACAACAGGAATGGAATAAACGTGAAAAGACATTCACCGCTATTGATTATGGTGACAGTAACTGGGAACATTTCTGACTATTATCACCTTCGTACATAACACTGATTGTTTGGAGTTGTAGACAAATAATTTTTCACGGACGGAAGAGCGCGGGGGGAGAGAGAGACACGGACGGAAGAGCGCGGGGAGAGAGAGAGACACGGACGGAAGGGGGGAGGGAGAGAGACACGGACGGAAGGGGGGAGGGAGAGAGACACGGACGGAAGGGGGGAGGGAGAGAAGAGACACGGATGGAAGGGGGGCAGAGAGACACGGATGGAAGGGGGGAGAGACATGGATAGAAGGTGGTAGAAGCTAGCGGAGTGTGCAGCCATACCTTACTCTGCCTGGAGATTGCAGAGAGGCTGAGGGAGCGAGTGGAGCGGACATTTCAGATGGTGGCATTACTACTGATATAGAATTATAAATATGTATCCAGGATTCCATATTGTTTGCATGAGAATTATACAATTAATTTGAGATTGTGTTAGCTTTTTGCGGCCCACAAACTTAAGCCTTGTTTATTTGGCTGTGTTAGCCTTTGAGTTGGACATGCTTGTTTGAAGCCTAAATAGGTAGAGTAACGATATAGCACTCCTTGAAGCATACGGCTTGATGGATAATGTAATCAGCACTCACACAATGGTTTCACGGAGGAGACTACAGCACAATGTAGATACACTCCGCAGCTAGTGTAAAAATCATTGCGGTTTTTACACGATCTCTACACAGCTAGTCTTTTCTATGTAGAATTTGAGCAGGGACTGTATGAACAGAATATATGAGTGACTCTATACCAGACTATGATCCTATCAAGTTCAGGATATAAAACGTAAACATGCAGTCAATAGTCACAGCTTGCTTTAGTGCGCTATGGCCAATGTGAGCAGTCGGGTAACCAGTTTCTTTCCGCAGACCTATCCAGAAACCAAATAAACGGATATCTCATGAAACCATTTAGATCTCAATGTGCACGCAACACTCACAGGCTCCCTCTCCAGGAGATAAAGACAAACTACACATACCAAGCATTTACATCACCTGTAAATGTCACACTCTAAAAGGTTAATCTCTTCATCCACAGCATCCCAGAGACTGGACTTTAAGGAGGTAAAGTGTTCACCTAGAGCAGAGACTAAGCTGCTATTCACTGCGTTAGCCACCTGGAAATAGAGAACACAGAGAGAGAGGAGAATCAGGAAGAGAGAACGCGGAGAGAGAATACAAACATGTATTCCTGACCTTATAGTGTTAAAACAGTCCCAAAACAATATTCTCTAAAGTTCCAAATTTTCATGCAGTGGTTTTGGTAGAGGCTTTGTTACTTGGCAGCATGTAAAAAAAAGAGAACAAGAAAGAGAGCAATATTGCAATATGCCAGTACAGTGAGGTGCACACAGAATAGAAGATCACAAATGGCAACTCACGTGTAGTGGAGCTTAAATGAGCTCCAGATAAAACGGCATACGGTGGTTGTTACGGATCACCTGGCACCCCAACTGGGTACCTCCGTTGAAGGATGCTCCTAGTGCTTCCTGAGGACTCCAAGCACTGCAGCAGACACCACAACCACTGAACCAGAGAAGCATGCGAATGCTCTCAAGCATATGAATGCTGTAAGCAGCTGAACAGGAAAAGCATACAATCAGCTTACACTCCTGGCAATCAGCATACAATCAAATTCCCCCAATAACAAGACAACACTTTGTTTTGAGGTCAAGTAGAACTGACTGTACTGGCGCATACAGCCTCTTTTATTCACAATCCACAAACTTAGTACTGCCCACAGGGTTTTACAGAACAACCAATAACACACGTAAAATACAGAAAACACTCCCAGCAATTATACACAAAATCCTCCCCTCTGCCGGTTATATAATTATGGTACACAATGGGTTAACATAAATATCACAAGCAGGAAAAATACAGTTTTTATATAAGTACTATAACTTTTAAAAATATACATCCAATCTTCATAAAAACATATTATTAATCAGCACATTTCAAATATAAACATACCCCAAAATCATTTGAATCTGTTCAACCGTTCGGGAGATAGATATAAGTCAAGTTTGACCGACCACAAGCACATTTTCATGCCCAAAACAGTTCCAGAGAATCAGGCTGTGCGGTCGGTCTATTTCCCATGTTAAAGTCAGTTCAAACAGAAGAACGACAACCGTTCGAACTGTCGAATGGCGTTCGAACTGTCGAATGCATTGAAGTCTGGAGAAGGTAAAACTTCAGCTGAATTAAAGATGGCCGCCACATGTTCGTTTGTCGAATAGCGGCCACTTCGACTACTTCGGCTGCATCCGAAGTGCCAATTTCAAGCTGCAGAACTGCTCCAATACAATTTAAAGGGACAGCAAGTCTTTTAAAATACAATCCGCTAAAATAGTCTTTAACAGGCAATATCTTCCAAGGGCCATAGTCTTAAAGGGGCATTGTTCCCAAAAGTCACAGTATGTCCCCAGATGGTTCTTAAAGGGCCAGCAGCAGCACAATAAAATACAATATGCCCAAATACTGTATTAAAAGGGCCAAATCTCCCAGGGGCCATAGTCAGCAGACAGGAGGCAGGCAAACAGGCTTCTCCAATGCCAAGTGGAGAGGTTGGTTTCGCCACAGTGGAATACATCCCCACTTATAGGATCTCTACTTGAAGTTGTTTCACATTACGATGGTAATATGATACACCACATAAGAGGAAAAAGGACAATAGTGTTCTTTGTATTTTAGAAGTGGTTATGGTTGCCTCCAGGCTAGATGAAAGTTGGACCGTAGAAAGGATGCTCCTAGCGCTCACCAAGGGACCATCAACTCTGCAGACTCCACGAACCGCCGCTGCTGGGCTGGGATCTCGCCGTCTGCTATCCACCCTGGACCTATGACCGGGCTCCAGGTTCCAGTAGGTGATACTCTTCCTTCTGTAGAGTGAAGCAGGATCAGGAACAAGAGCTCTTACAAGAGCTCAGTAGATAAGGGAGTATGTAGAGCATAGCAATCCCTGTAATGATTATAGCTGTCTCCTACAAAGGGATTTATTTTATGCAGGTTTTACACATACAGTACAACCCACAGGGTTTTGTAGAACAACCAATAAAATATGTACATAACAGTAAAACACTCCCATTCATTCCCACAAAATCCTCCCCTCTGCCTGTGATATAATTACTGTACACAATGGGTTAATGTAATTATCACAGGCAGGAAAAATATACTTTTTATACATACACTGTAACTTTAAAACTACACATCCAATCTCCATATTATTAATCAGCATACTTTAAACATAAATCATACAAATCCCTCCAGTAGTTCAAAAGTTAGCCGGAAGTCCTTTATGACCGACCGCGAGCACATTTTAATGCCCAAAACAGTTCCATTGTTTTGGGCTGTGAAGTCGGTCTATTTCAGGCAGAAAAATGACTAAGTCCCATTCGAATGCACGAAGGGGTCCGTTCATGCAATTGGCTCAGTATAGCAGTGAGTTCAAACTGCCGAACGGGACTTAGTCTCTGCAGCTGAAAACTGAGTGTAGGAGAAGGTAAGGGTCAGCTATGAACAAAGGATTTTAACCAAGTCTGGGGACACAGGCTTAAAGGGGCAGTGTCCCAAACAAGTCTGGGGAGTCTTAAATGGACATTGTCCCAATTTTCCCTATGTCCCAAAAATGTGCTTAAAAGGGCCAGCACCAGTCCCATAAAAGTCCATAAGCCCCAATATGCTCACAGACTTTTTAAAGGGCCATACACACCAAGGCCATAGTCATGAGGAAGGAGGCTGGCAATAAGGCTTCTCCATAATACAGGGAAGTAGGGCAATTTGTCACTTAAAGAGACAGTTACAAAAGGCATTTTGTAACATATCTCCCCTTTTGGAGGGAGACTAACTAGGCAGCTGACCTTCTGTCAGTCAGTGCCTAAGTTAGTCTCGCAACCCACCCACAAATAAACATTGGCAGAGTAGCCTCCCCCCACAATAAATAGTACTGGCCTGTAGGTCCCAGGTTGTAGGGTGAAAATGCAGCACCCTCGCCCTTCCTGGTACAGCTGGGCAAATAGCTGGGAGTACTCGGGGGCAGAGGTCAGCGGCCCTCTGCCCTGATGCCAGCTCTTCTACTGGTATAGCCTGCAGGATGTCAGACTCTGGACAAGGGACAAAGGGAGGGCAGAGGCCAACTGCACTCTGCCCAGCTGCCAGCTCTTCTGCTGGGGGGACTTGAGCATAGACCTGCCCGGTAGCAAGGGGAACTTGGGGGTCAGTGGGGGTTAACCGCGCCTCTGTTAATCCTGGGGCCAAGTTAGGAGTAAGCTGGGGAGAGGAGAATTGGCTTACCTCCTCGATACTCCTGGTGTCGCTGGGGAGGGAGATCGATGCTCTCCACTCCCTGTGGAACATGCTGCTGCTGGGGAGAGAGACCAGTTGTCTCCTCTCCCAGGAAGGCACAATGCTGCTGGGGAGGGAGGTCGATGCTCTCCGCTCCCTGTGGAACATACTGCTGCGGGGGAGGGTGACTGGTTGTCTCCTCTCCCTGACACTCACCCTGCCACTGGGGAGAGAGGACGATGCTCTCCTCTCCCTGTAACTGGGTCTGCCGCTGGGGATCTGGGTCACCTGCCTGCTGGGGGTCCTTCCAGGACCAGGCTATGAGGTCGGCTACCTTGGATACCTCTGATTGTGGTTGGGGAAGGAGACCGGTTGTCTCTTCTCTCTGCACGGAGCACTGCCGCTGGGGAGGGAGGTCGCTGCTCTCCTCTCCCTGTAACTCAGGCTGCTGCTGGGGAGAGAGGTCGATGCTCTCCTCTCCCTGTAACTCAGTCTGCTGCTGGAAAAACAAACCGGGTGTCCATATCCTCAAACTCCACAGTTGGCACTCAAAGTCATGTGCTGCTTGGTTATCAGCCCTCAACTGGCGCATTACTTGGTGGACCTGCTCGTTCGAAGGGTCTGGGCCATACCAGACCAGCCCAGCCCAGCCGCTCCTTTACTACCTTCATGAAATCAGCGCCCTCATAGCACTGTATCAGGCTGAGTTGAAATTCACTGGCTGCTGTCCAGGGTCTTGATGGCTCCATGCTGCTGTAGGTAGGGACGCTGCGCACAGGCTAGTGTTGCCCTCAATACTCTTTCATACGATACCAGTCAGTGTTTTCCAGGGTGCTGCTCCTTGCGCTAGGATGCCATCGCACCGCTGCCACCAAATGTTATGGTTGCCTCCAGGCTAGCTGAAAGTTGGACCGTAGAAAGGATGCTCCTAGCGCTCACCAAAGGACCATCAGCACCGTAGACACTATAAGCACTGCAGGCTCCACGAACCGCCGCTGCTGGGCTGGGATCTCGCCGTCTGCTATCCACCCTGGACCTTTGACCAGGCTCCAGGTTCCAGTAGGTGATCCTCTTCCTTCTGTAGAGCGAAGCAGGATCAGGAACAAGAGCTCTTACAAGAGCTCAGTAGCTGAGGGAGTATGCAGAGCATAGCAATCCCTGTAGTGATTATAGCCGTCTCCTACAAACATGAGTCGAGGCTGCGAGTAAGAGGGTCAAGTAGTTCTCTTTTAAATCAGCCACAAATGGCTTTTATGCAGGTTTTACACATACAGTACCGCCCACAGGGTTTTGTAGAACAATTAAATATGTACATTACAGTAAAACACTCCCATTCATTCTCACAAAATCCTCCCCTCTGCCTGTGATATAATTACTGTACACAATGGGATAATGTAATTATCACAGGCAGGCAAAATATACTTTTTATACATACACTGTAACTTTGAAACTACACATCCAATCTCCATAGTATTTATCAGCATACTTTAAACATAAACAAACACTCTCAAAAAACATACAAATCTCCAGTAGAAAAAAAAGGTAGTCGGAAGTCCTTTATGACCGACCGCAAGCACATTTTCCTGCCCACAACAGTTCCATAGATTTGGGCTGTGTGGTCGGTCTATTTCAGGCAGATAAATGACTAAGTCCAATTCGAATGCATGAACGGGGCCGTTCGTGCAATTGGCTCAGTATAGCAGTGAGTTCAAACTGCCGAACGGGACTTAGTCCCTGTAGCTGAAAACTGAGTGTAGGAGAAGGTAAGGGTCAGCGGTGTTCGTTGAAATGTGTAGCCATTTTCAGTTTCATGGATTTGGCAACACACACCGCTGACCGCGTGCGAATGAACAAAGATGGCCGCCGCCACGTGTTCGTTTGTACGAACGGCGGCCATCCAGCGGTCGGCAATTTACCAACAGCAGGCTCCCAGCCTGGGAGGTAAATTAGCCGCACGCTTCCACTTCTGGGTGGTCCACCTGTGTGGTACTTGGTTCAGTAAGCCCCATTTACTGAACCAAGTGGAAAATAGCCATGAACAAAGGATTTTAACCAAGTCTGGGGACACAGGCTTAAAGGGGCAGTGACCCAAACAAATCTGGGGACACCGTCTTAGAGGGGCATTGTCACAATTTTCCCTATGTCCCAAAAATGGGGCACCAGTCCCATAAAAGTCCATAAGCCCCAATATGCTCACAGACTTTTTAAAGGGCCATACACACCAGGGCCATAGTCATGAGGAAGAAGGCTGGCAATAAGGCTTCTCTATAATACAGGAAAGTAGTGCAATTTGTCACTTAAAGAGACAGTTACAAAAGGCATTTTGTAACAGAAGTGTAAAGAAAAATGTTGAAAACTTACTCATATTTTGGAGAGCAGACACAACTGCTCTGTGTATTGGGTGTAGGTGGTATAATCTCCACCATGGATTCTTCAATAGGTGTCTGCCAATATTACCAATGATAGAAAGAGGATGCCAGGTTGGAGCCAAATAAAAAGGTAGAAAGTATGTGGCAACAACTCAAAATTGAGGTAGCCAAACAAATACTGTTTTTCAAAAAACAATTACAAGTAATAAAATCATTGAGTCAGACACTCTTTAGCTCGGCTCCTATTTAACACCTCATTGCTGCTCCTGTTTCTTGTGCTCCGCCCATCTCCTACTACATTACACTTCCGATATCCTTCTACCGCATTACGTGACGCAGAACTTGCATTACGCTGTACGAGGGACCTCCCACTCTTTACAATGAACTACACTTCCCAACATGACTAGCCATCGAGCGTGGCACTTCACAATTACCCGTCCACCCCTTTATTTTCATTCTAGTCTTGGTTTAACTTAATAGGATTTATATTTTTAAAGAAGTAGTAGGTTCCTCTCTATTATAGAATCCTCTTAAAGGACCACTATAGTGCCAGGAAAACATACTCGTTTTCCTGGCACTATAGTGCCCTGAGGATGCCCCCACCCTCAGGGACCCCCTCCCGCCAGGCTCTGGGGAGAGGAAGGGGTTAAATACTCACCTTTCTCCAGCGCCGGGCGGGGAGCTCTCCTCCTCTTCGGCTGAATGCGCATGCACGGCAGGAGCTGCGCGCGCATTCAGCCAGTCTCATAGGAAAGCATTCATAATGCTTTCCTATGGACGCTTGCGTCTTCTCACTGATTTTCACAGTGAGAAGCACGCAAACGCCTCTAGCGGCTGTCAATGAGACAGCCACTAGAGGCTTTAGAGGCTGGATTAACCCGTTTATAAACCTGCTATGTTTATAAAAAAAATGGGTTAACCCTAGCTGGACCAGGCACCCAGACCACTTCATTAAGCTGAAGTGGTCTGGGTGCCTAGAGTGGTCCTTTAAGTATTTTATTGTCTCACTTATGTGTTATTCACTGACACACTGTAAGTTTCCCCCCAAAATTGGAAATTAGTGTCTTTAATGATACAAATATGTCTGAGTGCCAGGTATATGTTTCTGTCCACTTTATAAAGTCCCAGAGCTTTTGCCACATACTTTTTAGTCTTTTTACCTTGGTGATATTGGCAGACTGTAGCGGAGCTGCAATATTAAATCCCAAGATCTCCGCTGGTATAGAAAGTAATCCAAAGTAAAGCGCTGGAAAAGAAGGCAATATCCCAAATCCCCCAGTAACCGTACGAAACACAGTTCTGGGAGTCACCTGACACATTTATTCACATTTCCAGTATTTATGCGATTCCCCATGCAAGGGGTTTCCTTAAATAACCGGTCGATAACAGGGGTCTGAGCACACACTTCGTGAAAGTACCGCTCAGATCCCAGCATAAATAACCGTACGCCGCAAGAAACATAATTTTATATCAAATTCCCCTAAAAGTACCGAATACCTATTGGGAACCCAAATACCGAAAGACCGGGGCACCCGAACGGCCTGGAAGTCCAGCGGTGTTTGCGCCGTTGAGTAGACGATTTTAGTTCCAGGTGCTCGACGACCAAATACCGCTGGGCTAACAAAGGATCCAAGATGGACGACCGCCGCGTGGTCAGTAGCCGAACGACTGCCACCTAGGAAAGCAATTAACTACCGATTGCAACAATGTTGCAATCGGTTAATGGGCGCCACACGACCCTCTGCGTGTGGGCTCCCGTTCGGTACCTTATTCGTTTCACGAACAGTGTTTAAAGTCACTGTTCGTGAAACTAACATATGAATGCTAGCGGCTTTCGGCCATTAGCATACGAATGCTCTTTATTTCAACATACACATACATTCCTATACACAATCTTCCGATGTTATGCAATAAGTCTTAAAGTGGCTAGGTTTGCCACACAGACACCCATTAAAGAATCTACAAAAAAAATACACAGAGCAGTTGTGTCTGCTCTCAAAAATGTGAGTAAGTTTTCAACCTTTTTCTTTACACTTAAAAAATACAGAGAACACGATTGTCCTTTTTCCTCTTAAGTGGTGTATCATATTACCATCCTACTGTGAGACAACATCAAGTAGAGATCCTATAAGTGGGGATTTATACCTCCATATGCCGTTTTATCTGGAGCTCATTTAAGCTCCACTACACGCGAGTTGCCGTTTGTGATCTTCTATACTTGGTGCACCTCAAACGTACTGGCATATTGCAATATTGCTCTCTTTTTTACATGCTGCCAAGTAACAAAGCCTCTACCAAAACTACTGCATGAAAATTTGGGACTTTAGAGAATATTGTTTTGGGACTGTTTTAACACTATAAGGTCAGGAATACATGAACGGAGCTTTGCATTTCTTCATTTACCACCTGCTATAACTTCAAAACAATCTGTGGTAACTGAATTTGGATCATCATTAATCTAGTCATATAAGAGCAAACACCCATCATGAATGTTATATCTCTGGGATTGCACACACTTACCCAGTTAAGGCTGGGTTCCCTGCTGAATTCATGGCTTCGAGCTGTACTGAAGTCATAGTCCGGTCGGAAAGATTCATTCAGGGTAGCGATCAGGTAAAACAAAGTTTTCCGGCTGCATTTATCGCTCAGAGGCCCATCCTCATCGCCACCGTGGCTCTTTCCAAGCCTAAGGAAGAAAGAAAAGGTTACCCCAGACCCCATCAGAATAAACACACCTGGCGTGACTGTAGTGCTGGCTTGCCCAGGAATGGCCTGGGGTTCATTGCAGTTTTGTAACAGAAGTGTAAAGATTGGAGTTCAGATTGGAGTTTAGTTTTCTTAGTTTCAGGGCAGCTCGTTTTATTTCGTTTTTAAACATTTTACATTTAAGAGTTAGCAGATTGTGGTCAGTTATTTATGTGAAAATGCCAGACCTTCAGAAAATCCTTTAATCCATATAAAAAACCAGAGGGAGCAGCCGGACAGTAACTGGCTCAGGGCATATTAAGGGGGTGGACCAATGCTTTCGATCAATGAACTCAGTAAATCAATTCGAAGTCCAAGCCAACCAAGAGCTGCAGATTACGGCCATACCCTAATTTTCTTTTAAGACCATTAACAAAGCCAGTCTGAGTGTGTGCACTGCCCTGACTTGATAACCCATAAAATAAGCATAATAAGTAGTGATGTCCAGAACGGTTCGCCACGGACTCATCATTGAGTAAACTTTGACCCTGTACCTCACAGTCAGCAGACACATTCCAGCCAATCAGCAGCAGACCCTCCCACCTCCTGGACAGCATCCATTGTGAAGCTGCATTCTTCGTGAGCTGTCCAGGAGGTGGGAGGGTCTGGGAGGAAGGGTCTGCTGCTGATTGGCTGGAATGTGTCTGCTGACTGTGAGGTACAGGGTCAAAGTTTACTCAATGATGAGTCCGCGGCGAACCGTTCAGGACATCACTAATAATAAGTGGACGTTGCACTTGCCACTAAACACCATTCTCCATGCCAGCGTATAGCCAAACTTTTGGGCACAAGTTGGTCTAACCCAAAGTTCACCTTATTCTAGGGGTTATATGAAGAACTTACCTGCCAGGACTCACCCCACCGGTCTGGGGAGGTGACAATGCTTCAAGCACATGCGGTTGGCCTTCCTGGCAAAACTGCTTAAACATGTGCTTATCATCACCAGCCATCTTACACGAGTAACTTTCTATCCTGGAAAGACAATCAATAGGTACATTTCCTGGATCCACCACCTACCTTCAATACTTCTTACACACAGTTCATTACCACACATCCATCTAATGACCTTTATATTGTGTCTGCATTCACCAAGACACATAGCACGCAGGCTCACATACTGCAGAGAAACGTCTGCTAACCTGCCGATGATGTGTGCATCCCCAGTTTCCACACATAACTGAGAATTTACAGCTTCAAAGCGAGAATTCTCAAGAAGTTTCATCTCTTTGTTTTAGGAAAATCTGCAGCTGAAAAGACAATGACAGGATAAATGTTTTTCTGCTCAGATGGGACTCCGTAAAGATACTCAGCACTGTCCCATTGGGCCTCTAGCACTATCACAAGCCAGCACAGTAACCTTGCATTGCATCATTGTCCTTCAATAAGACTGCAGCTGCCCATACCGGTAACACACACACTACCTGAGCAGCTCCCCACACCTCCCATAACTCACACTACCTGAGCAGCGGACTCACTGCAGCTCCCCACACCTCCTATAACACACACTACCTGAGCAGCAGACTCACTGCAGCTCCCCACACCTCCTATAACCCACACTACCTGAGCAGCAGACTCACTGCAGCTCCTCACACCTCCTATATAACCCACACTACCTGAGCAGCGGACTCACTGCAGCTCCTCACACCTCCTATATAACCCACACTACCTGAGCAGCAGACTCACTGCAGCTCCTCACACCTCCTATATAACCCACACTACCTGAGCAGCGGACTCACTGCAGCTCCTCACACCTCCTATATAACCCACACTACCTGAGCAGCAGACTCACTGCAGCTCCTCACACCTCCTATATAACCCACACTACCTGAGCAGCGGACTCACTGCAGCTCCTCACACCTCCTATATAACCCACACTACCTGAAATTGGAATCTGAAAAGAATGACGTCTCAATATCAGTCAAATAAACCCTGTAACAACTGTTAATGTCTATTTATTTAGTATTTGCTTAAATAAAGCATTCAGACCCCTTCATTTTTTCCACATCAATCTACACACAATATCTCATAATGAAAGCATAAACCAGACTTTTCAAAACGTATAACATTTATATCACATTGACAAAAGTATTCAGACCCTTTGCTAGGACTCATGAGATTTATCTCAGATACATCCTTTCTCTCTGGATCATCTTTGAGATGTTCCTACACGTTGCCTGTCATTGGATGTGATTTGGAAAGGCACATCTGTCTATATACAGTCTCACTGCCGTAAATGAGGATCACAGCAAACCCCAAACCATTAAGTCAAAGGACCTGCCGGCAGAGCTCAGAGACAGGATCTCACCCTCTATATTATATAAATAATTTCATCTGCATTAAAGGTTCCCAAGAGCACAGTGGCCACCATAATTCTTCAATTGAAGAAGTTTGGAAACACAAGGACTCTTACTAGAGCTGGCCGCCCCGGCCAAACTGAGCCATTGTGGGAGAAGGTCTGTGGTAACGGTCACTCTAGCTGAGCTCCAGAGATTGAGTGACAGATGGGAGAAACGTGGAGGACAACTATCACTACAACACTCCACTGATCTGGCCTTTACAGAGGTATGACTAGACTCATGAACACCCACTTGGAATTAAAAAATAAAACAAATCAATTAAAGGACTCAAATTGTATCCCAGAGATTCTCTGGTCTGATGAAAATGAAGATTTAACATTTTGGCCTCTATTCAAAGCATCATGTCTGGAGGAAACCAGGCACAAAGGCCGGTTGCAGCCTATCAGATCTAGAGGAAGGGTATTTAGGTCCAGTTCTCATCCTGCTCAGTGCCCTGTCGTGGTTTCCCTTGTGGTTGTCCGAGAGCACGTTCCTGATTCAAGTTTCTTCTGGTTTTTGACTTTGGCTTTGACTTCCCTGTATTCTGTATCCCTGACTTCTGGCTTTCTCTTATCGTTGTGTCTCATTCTGTATCCCCTGACCTCGGCAAGTATTCTGACTATTCTTTTGTACGTTAAGTCCGGGCATTCTAAGGCCTGGTAATACATTATCTATTAGTCATCTGTGTGACAATTCTACGTGCTGGATCAACTAGTAATCCTGACAGAAGCACAATGGTGGCAGCCTCATGCTTTGGGGGTGACTTCCAGCTGCAGAGACTAGGAGACTGGTCACAGTTCAGGTAAGGCTGAATGCAGCGAAATACATCTGGTCCACACCACACAGCACCTCAGACTGGGCTGAAGATTGCCCTTCCAAGAAGCCAATGCAAGAGTGAATTAGGGATCGAACCCTATAGAATCTCTCTGGAGGGACCCGGAAATGGCTGTCCACTGACGGCCCCTATCCAACCTGACAGGACTTGAGAGAACTCGCAGGGATGAATGACGGAATCTACCCAAATCCAGGTGTGCAAAGCTTGTCACATCAAACCTAACAACACTTGAGGGTGAAATCGCTGCCAAAGGTGCTTCAACCAAGTCCTGGGTTACTGAATATTTATATTAGTGTGATAGTTCAGTCTTTTCTGTTTAATATATTTACAATGGTGTTAAAATCAGTATTTTGTTTTGTCATTATCGGGTATTGAATGTAGATTGGTGTGAGAAACAAAAAAACAACGATTGTAGCATAAAACCGCAACATATAAAAATTAGAAAAAATGAAGTGGTGTGAATACACTACATACATACATATACATATATATATCAATCAATGTTTAGGCTCTGAAGCAGAGTGAAAGAGAAATCTTTCCATGAAACCCTTCGTAGAGCGGTTAGATCTCTATTAATTCTCCAATATATGGCATCATTCAAAGCCTGCTGTAGTGGTTATGGTGTCAGGAGTGCCTTGGCACCCTCCTAGACTGATTTGTCAAACCGCTTGAGAAATGTTGGGCAACTTACCTGCGTCGCCCACACGGTTTTCACACTCTCTTTGCAGGAGAATCCGGTTAGTCCCATCGATAGAAGAAGGGCCACTCTCAATGGCTGAGTGTTCTGAATACGGTTTGACAAATTGCTCTGGGAAAGAAACAGGGCACTCCTGACACCATAATCCCTACGCTAAAAAGTGACAGAATCCTCAGAACAGGGAAAAGTGTTGTAATGGTGGTTTATTCATTTATGAAATGCAAGAAGGCAATGTTTATTAAACTGATAAAGGCACCTTGTGTATCAAAACATTTTCTTCGCACAGCTGAATAAATCACCATTAAATCAATGTTAATGGCTAAAGATTCTATATTTATCTTTTAGGGGGTCAGAACAGGAACCAAAATGTGGGAGCTTTATTGGAGTGCCTTATTTTTATTCTATTGCTGGCTGTAGTGGTTATGGTACACTGAAAAGATGGAAGTGGACACGTTTCATACTAAGCATTGGGAATTTCAGTGTCTAATTATTGGTGAAATATAGTCCCAAGTAAATGTATTAAAGAACTTTCAACAATGGAAATGCCTCCGTTAACGATAACACAGCATGGCTCCCAACACATTCAGGTAAAGCTCAGCGTGGGCATATTACAATCACTGTGTGTACACAAATTGTAACCCTCCCTCTTTACACCCTACTAACAGATTTGTGATTGCTCTATTGCGGAGACACTTCCTGCTTTATATCAAAATGCCAGCGATTGTACCGGTTCACTGCCAGCTCTGGTTTCATACACTGTCCAGCCTTGCTTCCAAGTGACAGAACTCTGATGAACTCACCTGCCTTGTGTAAAGAGGTTTCTGTCTGCCAGCAATCTGTATATACCTTCACTACGTCTTAATATCTCCAGCTTCTGCTTTGAACGTGGCTTCTTTCCGATATGCTTCCACACGGGCTTGGTGAATGATAGAGCAAAACCTGGGGCCACGACATGCCTGCCCTGACCAACGGAGCCCCTAAGGTGAACAAGCAGCTTTCAAGCTCAGGAATACAGACAGATTCTGCAACGACAGCAAGGGACACATCAAAACATCTCTTTCAAGTCTTCAAAATTAGATCTATATCGGCATTCAGAATTTAAAGCAGGGCTTGGAATCTAGGAGCCAGCAAAATCAACGACAAAAATACAATTCTTAAAGGGACACTATAGTCACCAGAACCACTGCAGCTTGACGTACGGCATACAGCTTAATGTAGTTGTTCTGAAGTCTATCCTGTCCCTGAATGCTTTTCAATGTGAGACAAAAGGCAGCATTTACATTGCTGCCTGGTGACAACTCTAGCGACAGTCACTCAGACGGCCTCTAGAGGTGCTTCTTGGGTCAGTGCTTCACAATGTGCAGCACCTACGTTAATGTTCCCTACAAGAATGCATTGATTCAATGCATCTCTATGAGAAGTTAAATTGGCACAGTGGTGTTTTGCCACACATGTTGTGGCAAACCTAGCCACTTATAATAATCTGGACGATGTGCATAAAAAGGTTGCCTGCATTATCCCTGCAACTTCTTGTATAACCTGACTGTACACTGTATGTTAATGTATGTTTGTATTGAATTCATATGCTAGCAGCCGAAAGCCGCTAGCATTCATGTGTTTCGTTTCACGAACAGCCACTTTACAGGCTGTTCGTGAACCGAATGAGCTACCCCCTAATAGCCCACACAAAGAGGGACGTGTGGCGCTCGTTAACCGATTGCGACAATGTTGCAATCGGTAATTAGAGGCTTTCCTAGGTGGCCGTCGTTCGGCTACCGACCATGCGGCGGTCGGCCATCTTGGATCCTTTGTCTCACCAGCGGTGTTTGGTTGTCGAGCGCGTGGAACGGCTACTCGACGGCGCGAACACCACTGGACTTCCAGGCCGTTCGGGAGCTCTGGTCTTTCGCTATTAGGGTTCCCCCATCGGTGTTCGGTACTTTGGGGCGAACTCAATGGCAAAGTGTATTTCGTGCGGCGTTCGGTTGTTTTAGCTGGGATCTGAGCGGTATTCTCACGAACTGTGCACTCAGACCCCAGCTATCTACCGAACGTCCGTTCGTTTAAATGGACTAAGTATTGTAAAAGTTATAGATTTTAAAGTGAATTGACGGTTCTGCTGCATGGAGGGATAATCCAATTAACGGTATATTTTAGTGGGAGTGTCCCTCTCGTGCAGCAGTGCCTGATGGGAGAAAAGTTCGGAAGGTTAAGTCCCCATGTAGTCCCCTACTTTATTACCCCTGCTATGTCAGTATGGAAACCCCTTGCATGGGGACTTGCATAAATATTGGATGCTGTGAATAAAAACCTCAGTTGACTCCCAGAACTGTGTCTCGTCCGGTTACTGGGGGATTTGAGATATTGCCTTAATTTTCAGCGCTGACTGTGGATTACCTTCTGTACCAGCGGAGATCGTGGGATTTAATATTGCGGCTCCGCTACACATGTGCAATAGTCTCCCATTGCTTCTCTATGGGGAAGCATTGGATTGGCTGAGATCAATGTTCTCAGCCATGGATATGGGTAGGGGCCAGCTGCGGCATCACCAGCACAGCATGGGGAAAAAAGTGGGTAAAAACACCTTTCCCATGTGATTGGAGGTAACACACACTCACTGGCAGACACACACACACTCCCAGACACAAACACTCCAAGACATACTGACTCACAAATAATTACTTTTTTAAATTTTATTTAAATCCACCCAGCCTCTCTACCTTAGGAGAGCTGGAGTGGATAAGCTTTCCTTGGGGTCCAGTGGGGCTGCTGTAATCTCCCTGCTCTGCTCCCTCTTGCACACTGTTTAGTGAGCCGGGGGAAGAGTGACGTCATAACCCGGCTCCCGGCATAAGGACATTACAACTCTGTAGCGGGTTAGCCCCTGTACAAGAGTCTGCCCCGGTTTCCTGGAGGGGGCTGCTTGCTCGCCGCCTGCCCAGTGATTATGGTCCCGGGAAGATGGGACCCTTTAAACACCATGGCTGGGCTTAATGGGATTTTGTATGGCACTACTGGCCCTTTAAGAACCAGCCAAGGACATATACTATAATATTGCAGAGACTTTGGACTATATAACTTATGCAGCAAAGGACATTGAGCTGCCTGCAAAACTAGGTGTTTAAAATGCTTTCGGTACTTTGCTGCTACATATATCTTCAGTGTACGAAGCATTCGTTTGATTGTCCCCATAAAACTATATTGACCCATTGCATTTGTCATACAAACTAAATCTACCGAACACCAGACCACCTTGAAACAAAGTGTGGCTTCAATTAACCTCTCAATTCGTTTGATTACCTCTTAAGTGGAAACTCACAAACGCACTGTTAAGTTCCTGGGTGGCCTCCATTTCGGGAGTTTTACACGTGGCGGCGCCCATCTTAATCTCCCGAACAGCGGTGTTTTGCCGTCGAGTGTCTGGAACTAAAATCGGACACTCGACTAGGCAAACACCGCTGAGACCTCCAGACTTGCATAAATTCATGCCAAAACTACCGAACGAGCCGCCGTTCGGTAGAAAGACTAATGCAAACATGGGGATTCACACGAACACCAATATAACCATGGATAACAAACTGTTTCTGACTTTTATTCCACGGAGACCGACCGCAAGGCCAAAACTTATGGAACTATTTCTATGGCTACTGTTGCCTGTGCGGTCGGTCAAAACTTTAAACCCCCATAACTCCCAAACCCCTGGTCCGATCTTGAATATGTTATTCACCCAGATCAGGGCTATCAGGGGAGAGATAATCCACTTAACGGTATATTCCAGTGGGAGTATCCCTTTCGTGCAGCAGTGCCTGATAGGAGAAAGGTCCAGATTGTTAAGTCCCCTATGTAGTCCCCTACTGTACAACCCCTGCAATGTCAGTAAGGAAACCCCTTGCATGGGGACTTGCATAAATACTGTGACCTGTGAATAAAAACTTCAGTTGACTCCCAGAACTGTGTTTCGTCCGGTTACTGGGGGATTTGGGATATTGCCTTACTTTTCAGCACTTTACTTTGGATTACCTTCTGTACCAGCGGAGATCGTGGAATTTAATATTGCAGCTCCGCTACAATTGGTGCCAAGCGACGGGATCTAACCTTACAGCTGAAACGCGGTGCTCGGATAAATTGAAACTACCGAACGGGAAAAGTGAATGGCAATTCGGATGCAGCAGAGAACCGAACACAAAAGTGAATGGAGACGGATTACACTGCATTAAAAAGGCAGATGTTAAAGGAGCTGCTGGAAGCCAGGGGTAAGATAGCCAGCAATAAGCCGAAAGCTGTGCTGATTGCTGAATTGATGGAGGGAGACAGAACCCGCAACGTTACACCCCCACCAGCCATGGAAGAAACCCTCTACCAAAAGGAAATGAGAACCAGGAAGGAGTTTATACCGCAGCCAGTACCCCTGGAAATATTGACCGTGCTGATGGCGGATGTGCAGGAGTATGTGATGGCACACCGTCCAGAGCAGAATCCATTACTGCCTCAGTCTACAGCCAGGTAAAACCCAAGATCCCATACCATGCTTTTAAGATGTTTTGTGAAGAGAAGGATGAGATTGATGGGTATTTGCAAGATTTTAAGAGGCTGTGTGATTTACATGACTTGGAGCAGGCAGTATGGGTACCGTTACTAGCAGGCAAACTGTCAGGTCGGGCAGCAGAAGCCTATCGGGCGGTACCCAGGTAAGACAGCAAGGATTATGGCAAAGTCAAGCGGGCCATACTAGAACGATATGCCATTACCCCGGAGGCATACCAGCGCAAGTTTAGAGGATTGCGCAAACCTGAGAAAGACTCATGCCGAGTGGGCCCAAAAGCTGGATCAAGCATCCCAGGGGTGGATACAAGCGAGCCAAGCAACCACTATAACGGACCGTTTTGCCCAAAAGAGGTTAAAAACCGTTTAGGCGATATTCCCCTTTTTCAGCTGCACCGACAGCTACTGCAAGCACCAATCTCCTGAACTGCAAACCCACGAATTCACCAACTCCCGAACTACATACCAAGGGAATACTCGAAACTCCCGAACTGGAGACACACGAATAGCTGCTAGCAGACGAACAGGAAAAGCCCCCAAGCGGCTTACACTCCTGGCAATCAGTCTCTAGCAGCATACAGTAAATCCTCCCCCAATAATGAGACGACACTTCACTTTGAGGGTTAAGCAGGAACTGATTTACTGGGGCTAACTGCCCGGCTTTTATGCAGGTCTCCCACCTGGTGGACACTCCCCTAGGGGACCAAATGGGAGACTGGGACACAAAGGGTAAAAGGACCAATCACAGACTTACACATTTCAACCATCCCACAATGCATCACAATCCCTCCTCTCTGCTCTGGAGATAATTGGGAAGTAATTCAATTATCTCCAAAGACAGAGGCAAAACTCCATTAACCACATGGCAGAAAACAAACAGTAAAAGACATAAAATTACCTACAGTTACATTCAGTACATAAAACATATACGTTCTACATATCCCCAGATAACTCAGATCTGAGCGCACATTATTACCGAATGGCACTCAGATCACATACATACAGTTCGATCACCATGGAGCCAAAGTCCATCACATAGTCTTTTCGTTACATGAACAGACTCCATGGCTTAGCTATCTGGGTGATGCTGTTCATCCGGTTAAACTACCGAATGAACAGTCATTCGGTTCCGCTCTCGAATGGGAAGGGAAGGAGGCAGGCAACTCAGCGGTGTTTGCGCAATTAAGTATCCGTTTTCAGTTCCATAGTTTAGGCGTGGAACACTGCTGCCCGTTCGGGAGGTAAAATGGCCGTTGCCACGAGTTCGGCAACCGAACAACGGCCTCCCAGCGTTCATCAATTAAGCTGCGGTTAACCGCAGCTTCTGGGCGGTCAATTGACGGCACACTCCGGTTCCCAGGTGGTCCGTCGTTCGGTAGTTTGTTCGGTAGATTGAATCTACTGAACACCCTAGCAGAAAGGCATGAATAAACCATTCAGCAGGGAAAATAACAGGTCTGAACTGCAGGGCCATAGTCTAAAGGGAGCAGGCGAGCAACCAGGCTTCTCCAGTGTACAGTGGCGAGATTGGTTTCGCCACAACCACTATGGAAGAGTTACGACAATTGATGCTGCTGAAAATTCTTTAATGGCTTGTCTCCAGAGGCACAAGAATGGGTGAGAGACCGCAAACCCCTCACCCTAGCCGAAGCGGCATGACTAGCTGACCAACATTTTGATGCGAGGAGACATCATGGGCACCTAAACAGAGCTTACCCTCGACCCACCGCTCAACCAAGTACAGCTACCCCTACAGCAACCCCCTTTCGACCAACCCCGGGGGTCCACCCTCCCGATATAATGGCAGGGCCAATATCCAATGCCATACATGCAGGCAATGGGGCCACATGGCAAGGGAGTGCACTCAGAACCGGAGCCGGCAAGCGTGGAACCAAGTACAGCCAAACCCAGCACCAAGGGCAGCCGCTCAACACAGAAGGTTTTGATTTTAAAACCTGTCCGCACAGATAAGCTGCAGGCCATCTGGCAAGGCCCATATCAGGTGGTGGAACAGAGATGTGACACCACCTATGTGATTTGCCCCTGCTCAGGGGTAGGGAAGAGACGCATGCTCCACGTGAATATGCTCAAACCCTATCATGAGAGGATAGAGGATGTGGCAGCGATATGCGCCTCAGCCTCTGAAGATCAGGAGAACCTGCCGCTACCTGACCTATTAGAACAGGACGAGCAGGCAGAGCCCTCCACAGGTGTTCAGCTGGGGGGAGCGGCTAAGCCCTCAGGAGCAGGCCTAAGTACAAGAGTTGATCGCGGCTAAAGGAGCCACTTTCTCCAATTTACCTGGGTACACTCCACTGGCCACACACCGAGTTGAGACCCCCAGACAGCTACCTATGCGGCAGACCCCATATCGTATCCCTGAAGCAGTCAGGGAACATATGAGGAAAGAGATTGAGGAAATGTTGCAGCTAGGGGTTATTGAACATTCCGATAGCCCCTGGGCATCGCCGGTAGTGCTAGTACCGAAGAAGGACAGCACGACACGGTTTTGTGTAGACTACCAGAGGCTAAATGACAAAACTGTCTGATGCCTACCCGATGCCCCGGATAGATGAGCTGCTGGACAAGATGGCACGAGGCCAGTATCTCCCTACCATTGATTTGTGTAAAGGGTACTGGCAAATTCCACTAGCCGAGGATGCCATCCCCAAGTCGGCGTTTGTCACCCCGTTTGGCCTGTACCAATTTCGAGTCATGCCATTCGGGATGAAAAACACCCCGGCGACCTTTCAGAGGATGGTAGATTGGCTACTGGACGGGTTCCAGGAATATGCGTGTGCATACCTGGAGGATATCGCCATATGTAGCCAGACATGGGCAGAGCATCTGCAACATATTGGAGCCGTTATTGACCGTATCGGGGAGGCAGGGTTGACGCTGAAGCCTAGCAAGTGTCATATAGGGATGGAAGAGGTGCAGTACTTGGGACACCGGGTGGGGAGCAGGCAACAAAAGCCCGAACCAGCAAAGACTGAAGCCGTGGCGAAGTGGCCTATCACTAGGACAAAAACCCAAGTGTTAGCCTTCCTGGGTACCGCAGGATACTACCGGAAGTTTGTACCTAATTACAGTGCCCTAGCCAAACCCTTGACTGACTTGACCCGCAAAAACCTTCCTTGACAGGTCATCTGGGCCCCAGAGTGTGATCAGGCATTTAACCAACTCAAGACGGCTCTCACTAATGCACCTGTACTTGCTGCTCCTGAGCCAACTAAACGATTTCTTGTCCACACAGACGCTTCAATGTTTGGATTGGGAGCAGTGCTGAGCCAAGTTGGAGCAGATGGCGGAGAACATCCTGTAGCGTATCTGAGCCGGAAACTTACCAGGGGAAGTGAGCTACGCCGCCATCGAGAGGGAATGCCTGGCCCTCAAAAAGTTACAGCCGTATCTATATGGACAACCTTTTTCCTTGCTCACCCCGCAACCCGTTGGTGCAGCCTTTTGACTTTACCATTCATTACCGCCCAGGGAAACAAAACGGTAACGCCGACGGGTTATCAAGACAAACTGAACTTGAAAAGTGATCTTCGGACATCCCCAAGCCGATCCGTTGGGACCAGACTGTGTATGCCGGCTTGGTTCTGGGGGAGCATTGTGGCAAACCTAGCCACTTTTAGGTTACTCGACTATATTTGCAAAAGGTTGTCTGTAATAACCGCTGGATTGTATATTGTAATGTCTGCCTGTGCCGATATGTTTTAGAGCATTCGTATGCTAGCAGCCGAAAGCCGCTAGCATTCATGTATTTCGTTTCACGAACAGAGAGACTTTACAGTCTGTTCGTGAAACGAATGAGCTACCCCCCAGTAGCCCACACACAGAGGGTCGTGTGGCACCCATTAATCGATTGCAACATTACTGCAATCGGTAGTTAAGGGCTTTCCTAGGTGGCCGTCATACGGCTACCGACCACGCGGCGGTCGGCCATCTTGGATCCTTTGTTTCACCAGCGGTGTTTGGTTTCGAGCGCGTGGAGCTGAAATCGGCTACTCGACGGCGCGAACACCGCTGGGCTTCCAGGCCAGTCGGGAGCTCCGGTCTTTCACTATTCTGGTTCCCCATCGGTGTTCGATACTTTTAGGTGAACACAATCTTAAAGTGTATTTCGTGCGGCGTTCGGTTATTTATGCTGGGATCTGAGCGGTATTCTCACGAAATGTGCGCTCAGACCCCAGCTAACTACCGAACATCCATTCGTTTAAATAAAGTGAGAGATGGCAAAGTTATGCATTTTGATGTAAAATGTCGGTTCTGCTGCACGGAAGGATAATCCACTTAACGGTATATTCCAGGGGGAGTATCCCTCTCGTGCAGCAGTGCCTGATGGGAGAAAGGTCCAGATTGCTAAGTCCCCCATGTAGTCCCCTACTGTACAACCCCTGCAATGTCAGTAAGGAAACCCCTTGCATGGGGACTCGCATAAATACTGTGACCTGTGAATAAAAACTTCAGTTGACTCCCAGAACTGTGTCTCGTCCGGTTACTGGGGGATTTGGGATATTGCCTTCATTTTCAGCACTTTACTTTGGATTACCTTCTGTACCAGCGGAGATCGTGGAATTTAATATTGCCGCTCCGCTACGGATACTATTGGATTTTATTGCGGATTGTGCTTGTTATGCTGCTGGATTATTCTCTCACTGTGGGTACTGTGCCTGGGATTATTGCTTGTTCCTGAGCCACATCTGGACTACCAGCGGAAATAGTCTGTGAGAGACCAGCGTTCCGCTACAAACTCCATCCCTCGGCATCGCACTAAGTCGACCGCCCATATCCCACCACTTAGCAATCCATGAGCTGCCCGGCCCCCTCCCTGAGCTCTCCATTAGCCAGCCAGCTCCCCACCTCCCTTAGCTCCCCTCCCTCTGTCGGTCGCCTGCCTGCCTCAGCCTTCCGTGAGTCAACTGCCCGCCTCTGTTCTCAGGCAGCTGTTCGCTGAAGCAGTCTTGTTGTATAGATTATGCCTCTGCAGTGTCGCTGCTCAATTCTCTGACATTTAAGAGTCAGATAACTTTGTTTATGCAGCCCTAGCCACACCTCCCCCGGCTGAGACTCAGTAGGTCTCACACCGTAGCAGGACAGCAGCTTACTGATTGCCCCAGCAGAAGGCCTCACACGATAGCAGGACAGCAGCTTACTGATTGCCCCAGCACTATAGCAGCTTACTGATTGCCCCAGCAGAAGGCCTCACACTATAGCAGGACAGCAGCTTACTGATTGCCCCAGCAGAAGGCCTCACACTATAGCAGGACAGCAGCTTACTGATTGCCCCAGCAGAAGGCCTCACACGATAGCAGGACAGCAGCTTACTGATTGCCCCAGCAGTAAGCCTCACACTATAACAGCTTACTGAATGCCCCAGCAGTAAGCCTCACACTATAGCAGCTTACTGATTTCCCCAGCAGTAGGCCTCACACGATAGCAGGACAGCAGCTTACTGATTGCCCCAGCAGTATGCCTCACACTATAGCAGCTTACTGAAAGCCCCAGCAGTAAGCCTCACACTATAGCAGCTTACTGATTGCCCCAGCAGTAGGCCTCACACGATAGCAGGACAGCAGCTTACTGATTGCCCCAGCAGTAGGCCTTACACTATAGCAGCTTACTGATTGCCCCAGCAGTAGGCCTCACACTATAGCAGCTTACTGATTGCCCCAGCAGTAAGCCTCACACTGTAGCAGGACAGCAGCTTACTGATTGCCCCAGCAGTAGGCCTCACACTATAGCAGCTTACTGATTGCCCCAGCAGTAGGCCTCACACTATAGCAGGACAGCAGCTTACTGATTGCCCCAGCAGTAGGTCTCACACTATAGCAGGACAGCAGCTTACTGATTGCCCCAGCAGTAGGCCTTACACCGTAGCAGGACAGCAGCTTACCGATTGCCCCAGCAGTAGGCCTTACACCGTAGCAGGACAGCAGCTTACTGATTGCCCCAGCAGTAGGCCTTACACTGTAGCAGGGTACATAATACATGAACATATAATCGAAGCCCAACAAACGGCTAGCAATAACTATTATTAATCCAAAAAAAAATCAACAAAGTCCACAGCGCTGTACAATAAACGGAAAGACAAACAGAAGGGGCAGAAGGCTCTGCTCAAATCAGATTACATTGTGAGATGAATAAGTTCACCCCTACTGAGGTTTGATCCTTAGTCTTTCACACCTCACTACCTGCCGCTTGACCTTCACATGTAATACCGTCTCTGTCTTCCAACCTATCTTGGTCTCTGCTACACTGCCCTCATTAGAATCCCTTCTTACCTCTCTAACATGTTGTAACGGACCGTTTTGCCCACAAGAGGTTAAAAACCGTTTAGGCGATATTCCCCTTTCAGATGCACACACGAATACTGGAAACAGCTGAACAGGAAAAACCATACAAAAGGTTTACACTCCTGGCAGTCAGCATACAATCCAATTCCCGCAATAACGAGACGACACTTCGGTTGAGGGTTAAAGGACCACTCTAGGCACCCAGACCACTTCGGCTTAATGAAGTGGTCTGGGTGCCTGGTCCAGCTAGGGTTAACTCATTTTTTAATAAACATAGCAGTTTCAGAGAAACTGCTATGTTTATGAATGGGTTAAGCCTTCCCCTATTTCCTCTAGTGGCTGTCTCATTGACAGCCGCTAGAGGCGCTTGCGTGATTCTCACTGTGATTTCACAGTGAGAGCACGCAAGCGTCCATAGGAAAGCATTGATAATGCTTTCCTATGCGACCGGCTGAATGCGTGCGCAGCTCTTGCCGCGCGTGCGCAGCTCTTGCCGCGCGTGCGCAGCTCTTGCCGCGCGTGCGCAGCTCTTGCCGCGCGTGCGCATTCAGCCGACGTGGAGGAGAGAAGGAGGATCGGAGGAGGAGAGCTCCCCGCCCAGCACTGGAGAAAGGTAAGTTTTTACCACTTTCCAGAGCCGGGCGGAAGGGACACCCCCAGGGCACTATAGTGCCAGGAAAACGAGTATGTTTTCCTGGCACTATAGTGGTCCTTTAAGCAGGAACAGATTTACTGGGGCTACCTGCCCGGCTTTTATGCAGGTCTCCCACCTGGTGGACACTCACCTAGGGGACCAGATGGGAAACTGGGAAACATATTGGACATTGACCAATCACAGACATCCACCTTTAAACACTCCCACAATGCATTACAATCCCTCCTCTCTGTCCTGGAGATAATTGGGAAGCAATCCCAAGAAAAGTCCTGTCTTCTCAAATAATACTACTCCTCCTGGTAAGCTTCTCAACAGCTTCAAACATCACCTTTACATTGAGGGTGATCAGATCTAACTCTCCCTCTGTCAGTGACTGCTTATCTGGCATTCTTCATCCTACCACAACCACCTACCCAATATTTCAAAAATTCATACATTTCTGAGCACTGACATCAGATCTAACAATGACCCGCTCCTTGTAACTTCCATTATTACGTCTTCCCGTGCCAGACTGCAGGACTACTCTCGTGAGGCACCAACCCACTGGAACACACTTCCCTACACTAAGTCTGCCTTTAATTGCTCATTAGATACCTTCTTCAGGGAAGCCTTCAACTCAACTCCGTAACCAATGCATTCCATTTACCCAATATTTGCCCTTATCTCACTCTGTATTAGCATAATTCTCACGCTCGCAGTCCCCACTTCCCCATCCACCTAGATTGTAAATTCCCATGGGATTAGGGCCCATAAATCCTGCTGTTTTTGTTTGTGAACCTTTTTGTTTTGTTTATACGATTTGTTGTAATAAATGTACCCATGTACTGCGCTGTAGAATGTGTTGGTGATTTATAAAGTATAATAATAAATCAGTACAGACACACTAGGTAACAAC